AAATCGCAGACACAACTGACCGCAAACGTTCTGATCGTACGTTTGATACAAACAACAATTGTACGCGATCGCCACGTTGCTTCCTAGATAGCGCTCGAGTTCTCGCGGCGGACGCAAGTTGCCGAATCCGTCAAAGTACACCGCGTTGCGTCCTTTCTTGGTGTAGGCGACCCAATGCGTGCCCGGTCCGATAGCGTCGTCGAAATTGACAATGCCGCTCTCGTTCGCGCATACGCGCGCGGGTAAAGCGTTGCGCATAAATACACTCCTGAAAAATGGTATGCGAAGTCGTCGGGCAAGCGCGTCGAGTTGCACGTTCGTGGTAACACCAGACGGCAAAGCGACATCTATTGCTTGCTTCCGCGCGGTTTTTTTTACCGCGAAGACCTCTTCCGAATGCGTTGCGCTTGTAAGGCGCGAGATACAATCCGCGACCTTCCAACGCGCGATTGTGTCGTTGCAGTTCCTCCAATTGNCGCGCAGCGGCCTTTTGATCGCCAACGGCTTTTGCTACACCAGCCGCACCACCGATCAACGATCCGATGGCTCCCAGCACCGGCAATAGAGGCAACAAGCCGCCGCGTTTCGCAACCGGCAGAATTCTCTTTCTTTTTTTTGCGTGCCTTTTCTTTATACCGATCTTGTGTCTCTTAGAGCCCGCGCCGAGCTTCGTTTTTGCCTTCATGGCCGCCCAAACAGCCATTGCGGCAATTTTTTCTCCCAGAGTAGAGTTGGCGGCTGTTATGCGTTCGCGCGCTTTTTTAGCAAGCAACCGATCGGCGTCGTGGCGCGCGGCGAGTTCGGAATTGCGCGAGTAGGCGATGTCGTGCTCGCGACACGCAGCGTCCAACGGATTTATTCCGCAATCGCTCCGCGCCAACCGTTTGGCGAGCTTTGTGCCGGGTCCGCAAAATTGATAGCCNGGTATGTGCAATTCAAACGGCAAAGCGTTTATAGCGCTGTTCAACAGACCTGCGCCGTTCGCGAAACGCATCCGACGCGGTTTCGAGGACCAATCACGTTCGAACAATTGTTTAGTTCGCTGGCGATCCGCTCGCGCTACGCTTGTCGCAACGACTGAGCAATCGGCGATTCAACAACTGTTTTTGTTGTTTTTAAAAAACGATTTTGGAATCGCGTCAACGCGGTGCGCAAGCGCGAAACGGATGGCGACATGCGTTTCGTTAAACAACCGTTCGCGATACGGGTGTCGAATGTGGAAGAACAAACGCGACGATCAAACGAGGAGGAGAAAAACACGCGAAGCAAGAAAAGGCACGGTCCTCTTCTGCCGAACGCAATACGCGCGATCGTTTAACGCGGACCGTCCAACTGCGGCAAGACGAACGTTCTGATACGTTTGTTGGAGAGTCCGCACGGTGTGCGATTCGAGAACGTTTACGTGTATTAGAGGTCTCTGCATCAACCAAAATATCGCTATCTGGAGCAATTGTTGGGATCAATCGATGAAATAGGGTACTTCACGTTTGCAAACAACTGCAACGTTGTGCCGACGAACGAGGCTTTGCCCAATTCCGTGTTCGTGTTCGACGACGTTGTCTGCGACAAACAGGATGCGATAAGGGAGTATTTCGCGATGGGTCGTCACTCGAAAGTCGATTGCTTTTATCTCTGTCAAACGTATGCCAAGATACCAAAACATCTAATTCGCGACAACGCAAATCTGTTGATACTGTTCCGACAGAACGGCACGAATCTTCGACACGTTTACAACGATCACGTCAACACCGACATGTCGTACAATGACTTCTCGAAACTGTGTCGCGCGTGCTGGCGGCGAAAGTACGGTTTTGTTGTTATAGACAAGAAGAGCTCGTTTCGCAAAAGCAGGTACAGACGCGGGTTCAACGAGTTCGCCGTGCCGTAAACAGCGACAGTTGCGAACGGTATGTCGAGCAACGACGAGGCTTCGCGCGCGTCGGCGTTGACCGCCAATATCGACGAACGCGAGCGTTTAGTGAAAGAGATCGCTCGAACGCGCGAATCGATACGCAAGAAACATCGATTGTTGAAAACGGGCCGCATCGAGGACGAGCTCGCTCTCGAACGACAATTCAAGCCTATCGTTGAACCGTTGCAAGAACTTGTGGAGAGTGCATAACCAACGGAACGTTTTTATACAGCGGGTGTGAGGAGGAAGCTCGAAGACGACGCGGCGACAAGACCAACGCCGTTAAAACCGAAAAGACGCCAATCAAACGTCGCACCGTTGACAATATTACCCTCTTCCATGGGTGATAATAACAACAGCAATGCGATCCCAACACCCGAGCCGCCTGCGTCGCCTAAGTTGCTCGAACGCACGATCGACAACCTCGCGCGAACGAGCGACGGCGAAACGAGAAACACGTTGCTCCAGCGTTTGGGACCGTTGGGCCGCAGATACATCGGCGCTCTGTTGAGCACCGACAGATCAAAGACCATTGATACAACATTCGGCGTGTATTGTGGTGAGGAGGGTACGATGCTCGGCAGCAAGCGCTTCGACGTCGGTTCCGACGACTCCATCATCGTGGACGACGTTCAATACGCGGGCATACCGGGTCTGTACGAATTGATATTCATGAAGCAGTCCGACAGCACCGCGTATACCGAGAGCGACAAACGCGTGTATCGCGATTTGTTGCTGACAACTAACGCTCACAGACGGGATCATCGTCCCACAGCGCCTGTAAAGAGCAACAAAGGTCACAAGTACAAAAATATTATCGCACCGTTGTTTTTCACCGTTCACCAAACGACGGGTGAGGGATTGTATCCGATCGCTATGAAAGTGACCAACAACGCGATAGATTACGTACACTGGGACGATCCCAACAAACTCGTGGATTGTTTGAGATTGTTGAAGGCGTCTCGTCGCGCGGGAAACGACTCGCATGACAACGAGTTTTTGTCCATCATCAAGGAGCTTTGCGAGGCGGGAGTGATTATAAATTAAACCGTTGCTCGGCGAACGTCGACAGTTACCGTTTTGCGCGCGCGCGATGAACGTAAACAAATTCGGTTTGTCGTTGCACCATCGCGAGTACGTTTACAACGGCGGTCAATCACGTTTTCAAATAACGAATTTGCGCAAATACGTGCGCGACAACGCTCTCTGTTTATCCGCGACGTTATTGTCACCCAAATACGATGCGAAGAAGCGCGCGATAACTCGTTTGATGAAACCGCAAAACAATTCCGACGCCGCGACCAAGATCTACGTAGACATAGGTCTCGCGCGAGCGTTCGACGCCGCGGATATCCTAAGCCCGAACGTGGTCACGCTTTCGACGGCTATGACACAATTGAAGGAACTTGTGGGTAATCTGCGAGATAGCTCCGCAATTGCGTTGTCACGCGTCGAGGCAAAAACGGACGAGCGGTTGTCGAAGAGCGCGAAACATTTCGTCGATCGACGCGAATTCGACGATCTTATAAAATACGAGCAGCAGTCGAGCAAAGAACTAAGCAAGGACATTGAGCATCTGCGAACAAACGCGTACGATCAATTAAATAAGCTGGAGACGAGACGGCAGGGTGCAGATTCGCGCGAAATAGAAGACTTGAGAAAAGATCTGGAGCAATTTCGCAAAGAAGCGGGAGAGGCGATTGAGACTCTGGAAACGAACGCGTACGATCGATTAGTACAATTAGAGAATGTGTGCACGGAACAGACAAAAAAGTAAGTTAGTGAGTGAGTGGAAAAACTTTATCCACATTAATCTGCGCAAGACCGTGCGAGACAAGCAACCAAAGTCAACATGAGCATCGAGAAGAGAGAGCTTGCAGAGGAGCTGCACGCGCCTGCGCGACGCAACGACGAGTTCTGCGCAGACGAGTCGTCGTGCGCGGTTACGATGATCTGTGGCAGGCCGACGTGGCCGAGATGCGCCCTTACGTTCGTCAGAACAAAGGTCACAACTACATTCTCACAGTCATTGATGTGTTAAGCAAGTACGCGAGGGCGTTGCCGCTTAAGAGCAAGAGCGGCAAAGAAGTCGCTGGAACGTTCGCGAAGATCTTTTGCGCCGGCGATCGTTGTCCGACGAATCTGCAAACCGATCGCGGCAAGGAGTTCTACATCGCGGATGTGGAAAATCTTATGCATTGGCACAACGTTAATTACTACTCCACATATTCTGGGGTGATACTCTATTGACCACAGTACGATTCGACACCGCTCGATTCGACACCACATTATTGGACACAAAATTATTGGACA